CTAAAAACCACTATTCAGGCGAGAGGGCGCAGACGAGGGCAGAACATTGTTTTTTTCGAAGGAGCGAGTTCAAGTAGCTCGCTCCCCCCCCCCTACTCGACGTCTTTTGGAGGAGAAGTGGGAGTTGGGCTGTGTCGACTGGTCTCATCAAATACTATGAAACACCCGTGAGGGCGAGGGTGATGGTCAGAGAAGGGGGAACGGGAATCGTATAGGAGAGAGCATCCTGAGTCTCATGGTGATAGTAGGGGGTCGCATCGAGATCTCCTCCCCCCAAAGAGAGAGGGGTCGCAGAATTTTTGGAAACGGTGCGAACGTCACTGTGACCCTGAGCCCAACTACGCTATTCTTCGCCATAGGAACAGCGCCATCCTCCGGCGTAGAAATGCGGTGTTTTGGCTGTGCCTGGTCACTTTTAGATTTTAAGTTTAAGAATGGTTCTCATGGTCAATGGTAAATTCTTCCCATCTCTCCACTACACGGTGGACAAATAATAACCCTGCGATATTGGTGAAATAAGACGAAGAGGGAGTGCTTCTTCGATAGCTGCGCTCGTGCTTAACAAGGGAGGTCGTTCAGGGTGTGGGAAGCTTTTTCAAAACGGTTTTTTGCATGCTGTAGGGACTCTCACGTAGACCACAATACTGCGTTTCGTTTTCGCTGAGCGGCCCCCTGAAGGCCAAAAAATGGTCGAAAAAAATTCGTTAAGAAGGGGTGGTTTTTGCTGCCTTGGAGTGAAGTTTCGGACCTGTACAAACGACCACCTGCATTTTGAAGGGCGCCGATGAAGATAATATCGAAAACAACTCGAAATTCGCTCAAAATTGAAGCACTGTACGTGGTACTGCTGAAGAAAGTGTAGAGGTTTCATAGGCGTCGTCGGCACCCTACACATCGCAGCGAGCAGGTGGCCGAGTGGATAGCGTGGTGGACTGGGGTTGGCACGACTTTGTGGATCGAGTCTCGCTTTGACTTCGTATAATGCCGCTCCACCACCTGAACGACCTCCCTTGTAAGCCATCACTTTTTGCATTTCTGCAGAAAAATCACGTTCATTACATACCCTTAGCCGCTCCTGGATGTAATCTTAGCAGAGCAAGCTTGTTTCATATGATCTAAAGTCTACAGTAATTTAAGCAAGATGTTATCGTATACGAAAAACGAAAGGTCCCGCAGTCTCTGGAGGCACACGTCACTTCGAGGATTGCATGATACGTTTGAGTTCGTCTGAACTGTATCTTTCATCACTATAATAAATAGATACAAAATAGCTTATGGTAGTTTGTAACCGAGTACTCGGCCGACGTCCCGGCGTTTGGCTGAACCGGACTTTTCATGCTGCAACCATCGAGTACCTCACAGTGCTTACTGGTCCATACTACCTATGGGTTGAAAATTTATGCTTGTGACAGTCTATCATTGAAGTTACTGGAAACTCTCTATTTCATTTAAGTGAAAAGGTTCACTGACTAACCAGTGTCTGTCTACTGTAAAAAGTTCGAACGATGGCTGCCCAGGTTTTATTCCAAATATTTTCCTTCATAGCAAATTTTTAGATTTCCGTGAATGAGGACGAGAGCAGCTTTTAAAAACTAGTCATTCATACACTAATTAATGGTGGATACTGCAGCATCTTTCTATTATACAATACCGCTAGTGTCCTTGCACGTGCCGGCCGTAGGCGTGCTTGAGAACCGGAGGGTTTTTTGACACGGTTACTTCGACGCCTCGCTGCCGCAATAGCGCGGTCTCCTGCGGCGAAAGGGTCAACGTCTTCTCCACTGCCCTAATATCCGTTTTATTGCGATTTTTGTCCTCACTGTTTAGATGAGCTCTGAAGTGGGTTGCGAAACCCGGATACTTGTCCTTTGGCAGAGGATGCTCCCATCGTTAGTATACGCTCGTTTTCGGTAGTGTGCATTTTACCGGAGTACTGCGAAGTGTTTGTGGAATCATTTACGCACTTTCTGGGTCACTGGTCCAGGCAGAACCGATCCAACCGTCCGGGTTGGGTAAGGGGTACCCTATCAGCACATAGAGTTACAGCTAAGAGTATCATCCTGTTAACCTTGTATTTGATGGATAGTTTCAACCCATTTGACACACCCCATTTTCAGCGAGCATGTTCAACCCATCAACAAATACTTTCAACCCAATTCAGTGTATAGTTTTTAATTCATGAGCATCCCTCCCATTCCCATCAAAGTCACGTACGGCACGCGTCATGAGAGAAGTGACAACTCAGAAGAATTACTATCCATCCTAAAGATTCAAAAGACTTTGCACTACGGAACTATACGTCGCGTGACGTTACGCCCCCTTTGGCCTTTCCAGGCTGACGTCTACGTTTCAAAGGAGGGGTCCCACGCTCTCTAACACCTTTTTGTTTCACATTTGTCGGCAAACTGGTTTCAGAGTTTGCCAACTAGAAGTTTTCTGGTCATGAACTGACCAAGTGTGGCCAAGCTCTATTCTTCGCGTTGACGATGGGAAGACGTGCCAGCGACAGCGGTACGTCTTTTATCAAGTGGATCAACTACGCCTTCGAGAAGATTGGCCTAGGTATTTGGTGAGTTATAAGTACAATAGATAGTTCAGATCGTATTGCTATAAAATATTTTAATAGGTTGGTCCATAAGTCTTGCAACAAACTGGCCTGAATTTTGAATTTAATATTTTCATTATCTTTTTGTTCCATTCATCCAGCATGCTACCCACCATCAATATCTACAACCTATTGCCAACACACTAGTAGCTGCTCGATGCCTCCCTTGTAGGACTCTACTGAATTCTGATCGAAGAAAGATCAGATGTCGATTTTGACATCATCATAGTTAGGATGAGCTTTCTTCTCTAGGAGATGGTTTGGAGAGGGGAGCAGAAGGGCATTATTTGGCACGAGGTCAGGGCTATAACGTGGATACGGAAGAACTCTCCGTCCAGAGTCTCAAAATTTTCCTGAATTTTCTTAGCAAGAGGTGGTTCAACGGTGTCATACAAAAGCAAACTTTGCCTTGTTTTTCTTTCGTATTAAAAGCGTTGCATTCGAGCTGTGGATAGTTGACTTTCGCGTTGACTGCGACATCTACACGTAGGGGTTTCCAGAGCTAACTCCTCTCGTGTTCCACCAAAAATCCGAGAAGGCCCTACTTGGACGAGGTTGAACTTAAGCAGTAAGAACTCCCGAAGCGTTTGAGCTGGACTACCGCCGTTTGTTTATTGGTTAGCCACACTCCTCTTCTTCTAATTTGGTTAGCATACACTGTACCACTCCTCATCTTCGGCAAATGTGATGGATGGTCAATCGTAGAATCCCTAGTAAGTCGACTTGAACATAACGGTGTCAGATCGTGTTTGGAGCTGAATCGGGCTCAAGGCACGTGGGGACCAAACTCTACATTTTCGGATCTTCACAAGTCTTTGGAGATGCCACAGTGCTGTCTCCTTGTCGCATTTAGAACGGAGAGACGGTTCAATTCAATCGTCAGCTAATGAGGTCACGCCGCTCACGCGGCGAGCATCGTCGCGCGCGGCAGTTGGAGCGGCGATTTCTGTGTGGACCTTGTCTTAACCATCCATGTCCATAAGTTGGCTAGGTGACTGATAAGATCCAGCAGGCTAGACATCAGAAGCCAGCAAGCGTCACTGTAAGATGGGTAGAACTTCAGGTGGGTGGCTAGAACTCAGGTTCGAGGTTCGGTCAAATTATTTCTCTATAAGGGTTATATCTCTACTCAATAAAATAATTCGTGACGGCAACTTGCACATTTCTCTGAACTCATTTAGAAATTTGGCCAAAAAAATGCTTCTGGAGGATTCCTGTGCGCTCTTGAACTGATTGCTCATATCTGCCATAGTTTTTTTTTATGTTTCAAGACCTTTTTTCCACAATTGTTTCAGTGTTGTTTTTTTTTCACATATCTTTAAAATCATTCACTTCATTGGACTTTTGTGGGTTCATGCCCATAGCTGGCTTTTTGTTATGTACGGTTAGTCCACGTGGGCTCACGTCTACGTCAATAAATAAATAAATAAATAAATAAATAAATACTCCGCAAGAATTTAATCTCAACAGGTTGCAGAGGTCGTACTATGTAAAGGTTATCTTTTTGAATTTAATTTGACTTCTTTATTAATCAGCTGCCTGAATTCTATCAGGGAGTGATAATCTGGTTCAACCAGAAAGAACATCACGTTCCAAGACACAGAGGAACGGTGAGGAAGGCGCTAACATAAGCATGATAGGATAAGTTTGTAATAATGGCAAGGGGCGAAGAAACTGCATTTCAAGGGGTTAGGTGATTCCTATTCCATGTTTCATGACTGAAAACTTCATCTAATCTTACATTCCCCAATGTTTGGATGCTGAGTTCTTTGCGAATTCGCCGCGTCATCGCGGGCTGCGGCGGCTGGCGCGGCGACCTAGCCACTGCCACGATTGAATAGTCACGCACCCCCCCGTTGAACATCTCTGACCAATGATCTATAGGCTATCAGAATCTTCTTTTTCCCAACAGCGTTGGGCAAAGAGCATCGTGATTGCCAGCCGGTCGGTGTTGGAGGTGGTTGGAGTGTGGGTTATTTTCAAATAAAAAAGTCAACGCTGAGCAGAGTGAAGCGCCGTTGCACCGTGGTTTGAGAGAGCGTGCCCTCGCCTATCTTCTGGCCAATCCTTGGTCTAGCATGACTTGCGGAACATTCCAAGCAGTACTCGTAAAAATTAAGGGCACCGAGAGCCCTCTCGCGAAATCGGTGTAATATCCATAATAAGTAAGCAGACAACGAGCTGGACCGTTGGCTGAAATTGCAAAGGTTGATGCTACGTCAGGAAATATGTTGCGGATTTTCAGGAGTTCTCCCTAAAATTCTATAGCATTAAATGTAATTTGTTACTTGTCCGATGAGTGAATTGCTGTTGCTTTAGCTATGCTCCATGGACATGCATTACATTGAGCTTCGTCATTACGGCTTTTATGAGCTTGAAAATACCATTGACCGAGATGGACGACAACATCAACTACTACACTTCGTATAACGCTCGATCAAGAAGGGAACTGAAGGTAACTTTTCTGCTGCCTTCCTTCAGTTTGTGTGAGTGGCAGAGATTGTGCCTCACTGGAAAAATATGAGCACCTATAAAACTTCCACTTCATTGGGGGCAAAAATGGCTCCTTAAGTGACACATAAAGGTCATAAAAAAAACTGTATATATAACAAGTCTCGGATACAGTCCAATATTGACCCTTTGACAACAGTGTACCCCGCCTGTGAGCCACAATTTCGCTCGAAGGCGACTGGTTTTTCATGGTTTATTCGGCATTTTTGTGACAATGCGCCCATTACGAATACCGGAATCGTTGAAGAGTTGATGACTATTGGTGAGAAAATTCAAAAAGAAATCAAGTGATGCACGCACAATGGCGGTTTTCGAAGGGTTAATAATTCAACCCACTAGGCTTAAAGGTAGCGGTTACGATAAATTCAAGAAGGGTTTAGTGTGACGTGGTGGTGTTCAATGGTACCCAGCAGCGAAAAAAGCAGAAAAATCCGTCAAGAAAACGCAAAACGGGACCCTCTTTTTTGGCCATTGGTTTCAACTCGTGAACAGGTAACAGCTAAGAAAGAGGACGTATGAACGAGTTCACCGCAACGAATTTGATGGAACCATGCCAAAGTACGCTTTAATCGAGATACTCCATTTGCCGCTGCCTGCTGGGTCACGCAGATCGTCCAAATCAACAAGTAAACTTGTGGGCGTAACGCTGCTGGGGGCGGAGTGCTGCGGAGGTCCTGCTCAGCAACCACAGCACCTTTCGCCGTGGAAGCGCCACACATTGCTTCCTTGGCAGCCAAGTAATTGCTCCGTGTGGCGCAGGTTCTCCCCCGATGCGAAAATTCCTTATCGTAATCGCTTCCTTTAAGATCGTCGCGTGACTCCAACTTTGACACGAGGCATAACCATGATTCAGCATGGATATACACTAAAAAGGAAGTCCAAATTGATGAGAGTAGATTGAGCTACGATTTCTGACTTGCCTAATTTGCTGTTAATTTATCTGCTGTTTTCCCTGCGCTTATAAATGTGATCCAAGCTCCAAGAATTCTGACCATGAGTTAAGGGAAGCCGGCATAAAACTGGTGAGTAAAAGCGCTCAATAATGAAGGTGGAGGTGCGGTGTGGGCTGGAAGTGGAAAAAGAACGCAAAACAAACCATGGAAAACACTAAAATCAAGGGCCTAAGCAATGCGAGAAAGCACGTTGTACGAGAGGGCAAAGGGAAGCGGCTGTCGCGGACTCCTCCAACCGGTGCCACAGAGCGGGGAGAATCGTGGGACCCTAGCGCCCTTGTCGCGCTCTTTCTAGCTTTGTTGGAGTTCACGACCAGCTCTATTCTATCGACTAATCGGATTATTCCATTGGTCTTGTTTATACCTACCGAGGAGTATTCCAAAGGTCTTGTCACAGTGTGGTTGGCGTTAAGAATTGGTCTCAATCGGGTTTCTAACCCGTCCTCATACATTCCTGAAACCAGATCATCATCAAGTGAAAAAAGTATTTGAGAGATGAGCTCATCTTTTTCAAGGTGACGCTTATGTGTTGCTTTAGACATACCGTGAATTCTTTTCGAATCGGGGAGAACCGAGCGTTATCTACGCTTTTCATCTATGCCAAGGATGGACATGATCTGCTGAAAGCGTCGCACTTGAACGAAACGGTGCAGGCAAGTGTTTAGCAATTCTGGAAGCCCCAGTGGAATCAGTAGCCTTCAGGAGTAATTGCAAGGGGGGGGGGGAGGTTGTTGGAAAACACATAAAGAACTTCATTAGTGTCACATAGTTCGATTCAACCTGATAGGAAGCACTCTACCGCAACGGCTCTTTTCAATATCATGACTTCAGGTTCTCGAAAAAATATCGCAGGATTTCTACTTGCGGACTTCAAAAGGCAACAAAAGCTTTGAGCAATTTTGTGAGGGATTTTGTACTCTCAACGATCAGCTTCACTACTTCTACGTTAGTTCTCGATGCTTCTATTCCATGGGGAAGTGATTTTCTCCAAATTTACAACCCCTAGAAAAAGTCGGTGATTTTTGAACAGATTGAAGTACATTCCAGAGCGCCGTGCTGATCTCCAACAATTACGCAAACGACAGTGGGCATGTGGACCTGGGCTATCCGGTCACAACCGTTCTTGGTACAAAACTGTTCATGGACCCGAACCTCTTCGGTGTTAAGATTGCCGTCAGAGACGAACATGGTCAAGAACTTGTTGTATCCACAGCAGATCGGAAGTATAAGGCCTCACTGCAGGTTTGTCCGTTTACAATATCTACAACTGAGTGACCCATCTACAAAGATAAAAGCAGAGATATCATCGGACAAATTAAAATAGAGATCCTCTTTGTGGTGATTCCTAGCATTCTACACTGAGGCACACGAGAAGGCGACATGAGCGCGATTCTCATTGTCAGAAAAAACAGACGTAGGAGACGGGGAAACGATGCCGTCTTAAAGAAACATTTCTCGACCAATTACGTGTGCTTAAAGCCGCGAGTCGCCATTGGGTCTCAAGTGCCAGTCCCTCCCAGGGTGAGAAGAGGGGTCCCCAAGCGCAGGAGGCCCGATACTGTCGGGAACAAAAGTGTGAGGCAACGGTGTTAAGGCATACCTTGTCTGCTGAGCTCTACCAGTGCAGTGCCACTACCAGTCCGTCCTACCACGATCGCCATCACAAGGAAAACTTTACTGTTTTCTATGGTGTTTTTGATTTTTCTTCTCACAGATGTTCCTCGTTGCACTTTTTCCCTAATTTCCAAACAAAACAACAGAGTACTTCGATCCCGACTCGTGCCTTCGATTTCATCAGAAATAAAAACGGGCTGTGAGATTTGATTGTTCACAATATTTAGATGGATCAGAAACACACATCATTGTTGAAACAAACTGCCAATTTTTTTTACGCTTTATGGGCGGCACTTGGCCAAATTCCTTTTGGAGTGTAGGAACCTTATTGTATCCCACCTAAATGAATTCAAAAATTTCGCCGAAACAGTGCCGCTATTCTAGAAAAATACTTTCCATTGAGCAACAAGGGTCCCGGCCTTGATCCAGTAGATCAACCACTCTCCCCACAAACCACCCACCACCTGTTGTGGAGTGTTGCCAAGTCTCTAGGAATTATTCTAAGAAAACAAGATGCGTTTCAGAGGAGCATACAAATAACTTTCGAAGCAACTTTTAGCGCTCTCCACTACAAATTTGTCGGAATTTCTAATGAGGGTGATTCAACTCAGAAAAAATCAAGTGCATTTTAGCAATGGAGATTTCCATGGCTCAGTAACGCATGTTTTTCCCAAATGTGTTGGAACGACTTATGGATTTTCAGGGTTTTGATCGTTTTTCAAAAGAATACAGGCGTGCGTTCCACAAAATGTTCACTTAAACGAACTAGGACTGAGTTAGCGATTAGTTCCCTCGTCAATGATGTGGAGCGTGTCTGTTGAACAAGGGAACTCAGTGCTTTTATGAATGTGACCCATGATGCGGTCTTTTATTGTGAAGGGCCATATAAAGGTCCCTAAGCATTATAAACAGCGCTGGAATATTAAGAACTTCCCGTCATCTCTTTTGAACAACGTTTTTGATGTTCTCTCCTCTGTTAAATCAACACGAGCATCATATAGGGCCTAAGGTTTCGACGGCAGCGCCTCCGTCGGGGAGCTGGGAACACTCGTATAATTTATACTCAACAGAACGGGACGAAGACGCTCGCCCCAGGGTGAAAATCGTGTCGAGTACGTGGTCGCAGAGGTACGACCCCCCCCCCCCGAAATCGAGATCCTGGCACGACCCCCTCTAACAGAGCAAATTAATTCAATTAAAATAAATCCTGCAAAACAAATCAAAAAAAATTCTGCAAAATAATGCTAAGGACGCTTCATCTTGTCATCTATGCACGTCTTCCATCGCTGCATACTTTTGTGTACATACTGAAATATCGACTCGAGGAAAGAGGCATTAACTTTGTGTGACCTCAAGGCGAGGTTCGTTCAGAAACGCACAGAAATCCTGAAGACACGGGGTTGCGATTCAATCTTGATTCTTGCTTGAGTATATCAAAACAGCCGAGTGTATCAAAGGCCGATTCAACGGCAGCTGCGGCGCGATTGTCACTGGGTCAGATTTGCCGAAATTTCAAAAAAAAAACGTCCGAATCTACACCCTCGATGAAAAGGTTGCATTCCTCCATTTCACAACCTTTGAAGCAGCTTGAGGTAGAGTTAGATAGAGCTGGATTTCGCGTTTCCAACAAGCATCGAAATTGCTCTGGAAGCCTTCCTTGCAGAAAGATAGGGTCTGTCAAATTTCGTCGAGTAAATGTCGAGGAGGCCGAAATTTTCACGCGAGTTTTTGCCACTTCAAGAGCAATATATCTCTTATATTGTAAGATCCTGAAAAAGGGAAGATAGTTTTGGAAAGCGGAAGGTTTGCGCTTCCTGATGGTCTGTTTAGTTTTCTTCTACAGCTTTTTGGTTGAAGAGATAATTGCGTCGAGGATCTATCGAGGTCGGATCCGGCCACCTGGAAATCCGCTCCCTCATTCACCATTGCAAGTGTGACTCGTTGGCAACACTCGGAATGTGTCTAGAACAATATCTTTGAACGCAAACAATAAGAATAGGAGCAATCGTCATCATCCGATTTGGTATTGGTATAAGCCATGCATCCCTCCTCCACTCACAGTTGCAGAATCGATTGAAAGGTGTTATATGATGGGGACCTTCGAACGAAACTGTATTGTAGTAGACATAGTGTGTTGTGCTATTCCTGTAACCTAAAAAACAACTTCATTTGCCCAGCGCTTTTTCTTCACGGTTGTCGTTTTTCCGACAGGGTCCCTAACAACAGCGTCATTCTCAGCGAAGGCGGGTAGTTAAGGGAGGCAAGTGGAGCGGTGGAGGAGGGGGAGGAAAGTGATAGGCGGCTAGGAGGGCCTTATGCAGCGCAGTGGCACATAGTGCACTCTTCTTTGGGCAGGATGCACATATTCATTCTTGTGTACTGCTGCAGAATTATGCGCCCTGTCTCATGAGAGGGTGGGACAGAGGAATGAAGCGACTGAACCTGCAAAGAAATTTAATATCATGTTTTTTCAGATGTTTTCATTTTCTGCTGCGCTATACCCTCTTACCTATCTGCACCACGATACCACTGCTGTTACTGACCCCCAAGAGTACGACCCCCCATGGACCAGCCCAACAGGTACGACCCCCCTGTCGAGGATTTCCTCGACCGATATTCACCCTGCTCGCTGCTAACCGTTCAGAAGACTCAAGACGAATAGGACATCAGGGCAGAGCGCAAAGGATGGACCACTCACAGTTACACAGTTTCTGATTCTCAGATAGCTCAAAGTATCCCATATCCTTGGTTTCGTAATGAACACTTGCATGATCTTAGAGCCACAAATATGTTTTCGAAAATAATTAGTGGTAAGCGGGGAGGTTGGGAGAATCCGAAGCTATTCCGGTGGTCACCCCTCGAGCGGGAGCCGCGATGTGCTTGCCAGCCAACGCCTTCGATGGCTGGATTGGGACCTCGTGTGTTGGGACTGTGACTGCAGTAAGTACGCACAGTTACACAAGGCTAGCTTATCGGTTTGTAATATGGTAAGGATCTTCAGTAACCTGCCAACACAGCTATGAAATTAATTTGTCAGTCACATGCCTTCATAGAACAGAATTCGCAGGCTGCTATACTGTAGTTGGGGGGGGGGGGGGGCACGCGGCGGCGCGGCAGTCTGCTCACCTGGGCCCTCTCGAGCGAGACAGTGTAAACTCGAACATTCCAGCTTTTCACGCATGTCAAGTGACTGCCCCCACCCCCCAACCCCCCTAGGCTGGCTACACTCCCCCTGGCCCACCAGACGCAGCAGGACAGCCGCTTCGCGCCGCGTGCCCCCCCGCCAACTAACAATTAGTGTCGGCCACAATTACATTATCGAAGGAATTTTCAGAATCAGCTGCCTAATAACATCCGTGAGGTGGCTCTAATCGTTTTGCAATTTCGAATGGAAATCGGCTCTGACGTACAACCGGATGATATGAAAGAGTATGAACAATCTATCGTCGCCTACTTCCAGAAGTGAGTGACCTCTACTCGAAGACCCGGCAGGGTCGGTCCTATCGTTGTTACTTTTTCAAAAAATTTTACGACCCCCCTCCCCCAAGGTGGATTTGATACGACCCCCTTTTCTCGACACCTCGACCACCATCATCCTCTCTATAGTATTTAATTCTGGTACCACTCAACCCACAAACTCCGCCCACTTTTTCCTCCACGAAACTCCGCCCACTTTTTCCTCCAAAACTGCCGTCGAGCGGGGGGGGGGTATAGCTACTCCGAAACGGTAAAAATTCTCGAAAATTTCCTATAATTTCCTCTATTTCCACCATTTCACCCCTACTTTTACCCAATTTTACCTATCTTCCCACAACCTAC